GTTCGTATGAGTAGACTTTTTAGAAGAACTGTTTCACACTGTAAGAGAAAAGAATGCGAAAGTCTGAAGATGATGAGTAGGAAATTGATGAAATTTTTAGCGATGTACAGAATTTCATTGAGGTTGACTGCCCAAACATACACTATGCACAGTGTAGTAATAAAAGAATAACCATGGTTTAAAACATCCATTTGAAATACGATGACCTTATAGTCTACTATTAATAATCAGTCACCATTATTTCGCTGTTTATCTGTACATAGCAAAGTAGAGTGTTTTTGGGCCCGAATCTATTTTATTTTATTCTATATATATATTCAAGTAGGTCAGAAAAAGGGATTGGGGAAATGTTCAAATTAGCAGCAGCACACTCGTGGACATGTTTTGCAGCAGACAGTCTTCTTGACGACTTTGACAACTGGTCGATAGCAGACTGTTTTGGTGACGGTAGTTTTCTTGCGCACACAACATGGAGCACAACATGGATCACAGCATGAGTCACAACATGAACCACATCCACATCCACATCCAGAACTACAACACGAGCCGCATCCACAGCCAGAACTGCAGCATGAACCACAGCCACAACCAGAGCCACAACATGGACCACAACATGGGTCACAACATGGGTCACAACATCCACTTTTGCAGACGACTTTGCTTGAACAACAGACTGGCATGTTGAAGTGATTGAGAATGTGTTGTGTAGAGAAGAGTAGAGGATGTTGAGAACTGGTTGATGAAATGATGAGAGAAATGATGAGTTTATATATGAATTGAGAAAGTGTGAAACGATGTGATTGTCTTTTTCAACCGAAAAAAAACACTTACCTTTGATTCGACGTAACAGTACGTATCTTGAACGTGTCATTGAAAAACAAGTAACCGGAAAACAGTCTGTTTCTTGTTATGGTATAATTCGACAGGAAATAACATGGAACTCAATAATAACACCTTTGGTTTGTTTTTCTTAATAGCATAGTAGAAGATCCATGAATATTCAGTTTCACAACCATACAGTGAGTATAACTGAAAAGGTGGAAGGAACCACAAATATTTTGCGGTGAAAATATATCATTTGCTTGCGCTTCTATACGGCACGTACGATCTCCATTTCTCTTGGCTTCAAAACGAGAAAGAAAAATTATGATTCAATTATCTCATAAACGCGCGCAATTACTAGAAGGGTGGTGACAGTTCGGTGCCCCATTTTGTAATACACCAACTTTGTGATGGAACTTCATTTTGAGAGAGTGAAGTGTGTAATAATTAAAAAGATGTTTGTATCTATCAATTCCACGATGGATTGAAATTATAGATTTTACGGAAGAGCTGAAGCGCCGCGATTTTCAGAAATATGCACTTGTTTCGTAGACTAATAAATATTTAAAAGTGTTCATTAACAATTATCCAATGCAGCTTTTCAGATTTCCTTTACAAACAGTTCCAATTCTATATGATTGCGTAAATTGACGAGTGACTTTTTAAATACTACGTATAGTACACAATCATCTCTACGTTGAGCTATGCAGTACGCAAATCTGTGTCTATTATTCGACGCATAGAAAACGAGTTTTACTTTTTCGTCCGGGTTTATTTTATTTTATTCCATATCTATCTATCTACTAAATCGATTCACAAGAGAGAGAAAGATGGTAGATTAAAAGAAGAAAATGTTCAGATTAGCAGCAGCACACTCGTGGACATGTTTTGCAGCAGACAGTTTTCTTGACGACTTTGACAACCGGTCGGTAGCAGACTGTTTTGGTGACGATAGTTTTCTTGCGTACACAACATGGAGCACAGCATGGATCACAGCATGAGTCACAACATGAACCACATCCACATCCAGAACTACAGCATGAGCCGCATCCACAACCAGAGCCACAACATGGGCCACAGCATGGGTCACAACATGGGTCACAGCATGGATCACAACATCCACTTTTACAGATGACTTTGCTTGAACAACAGACTGGCATGTTGAAGTGATTGAGAATGTGTTGTGTAGAGAAAAGTAGAGGATGTTGAGAACTGGTTGATGAAATGTTGTGAGCAATTGCGAGTTTATATATAGGTTGAGACAGAGAGAAATGAAGAGGGTATTTTTCTGATAACAAAATCAACATACATTTGCTCGAGTTTGATAGTATCAGATGCGTACATTTCATAGAGACACAAAGGAGGAAGTTTTTAATTTTGGCCACAGTTTATTCAAAATACAAGATACGCATGATAGTCATGGCCATTACGAATACTATTCATTCGTTTGTCACACTAGTTATGATAGGGCAAAAAATGTTGATGTCGTATGTTCTACCGTAGCACGCTATTAGGGTCATAAAATTACGATGGAAGTGTAACACGCATATCAATTAACAATCATCCAGAAATAAGACTAGCTGAAAACTCAATTATTTGACTTGATGGAGTCGTTGTTGGAGTAGAAAGGAACTTCAATAATTTTACTACTCATATTCTTGAACAGTTTTCCTTTGGTATGTTTTGTGTCGTTGAAAATTCTCGAAAGAAGATCATAATGACAATTGTCCTTTTGCTCCTAGCAAAATAATGTTTGATGAGATTTTTATTGAAACGTGAATCCAAATACGTATTGATTTCTTTTCCGTTCTATAAATGGAATGAAACCTCACTGCATAGGGCTTATGTTTACCGAACGTAGAGAATGAAAGAATTCGATGTAAACATGCACTAAATTTCCACGCCGTGTAAAGAGAATTTGATAGTTGGGCGAATTTCGAGTAAATAATAATGATTAACTTACGTACAATATACGCTCGCATCTCATTGTTCTATCGGTACAAGCGAATATTATTCTTAGTTCTCTTGGCAAGTTGCACTCTTTTATATTTTTTACTATTATCTTTAACATCGCGTTTGAGAACAACGCATCCTTATCGAGCATTTTGCTGAATTCATATGTCCACAAATATTTTCGCAAACTAGCTGATTGGCTTTATGGCTGGCCGCATGGTGTATTTGAAGAGAATATTGAGGTCCCGACTAATGTAATCCATGTTGCATCCTGTTTACCACCAGGTAGTATAATCTTTGTCAAGACGGACTATTTATCGAGCTTCTTTCGTCGCGTATATCCACAACTAGCCAACAAATTCGTGTTAAGAACCGCTCAAGGAGATGCATATACACTTCTCGAATTTTTGTCCTATTTTCACGAAAGCGATTCCGGAATCATTACACTGGTTTGCGTACAATTCCGATACTCATTTGCCAAACAACGATCGATTTACTCCCATTGCCATCAGAAAGACATCAGCACAGTACAGGCGGTAAAGACTCTTTTTCTAGGTATGAATTGCTATGAAATGGTGAATGCCATTCGGTATATCTATCGACAGAATTCTGATTACACATCTCCGTCGATCTATGGTAATGAAGATGAACCGCAATGTTGTACACATCTTCTTGACATCACTAGGCGCGCTTTGAGTGGACATTTTTACCAGCAGATCCTTCTTCTCAACTTTCAGCGAATCACTGACTACACTGAACTTCAATCTCGTCTCTGACAAACTCTCTGTCGCGATCAGTTCACATCCATATTCGTACTCTTCATTATCCTATGTGGCTCTGTCTAGACGCCATTCCTATAGTATGGAATTCTACATCGAATCCTCTATTCGTTGATCTGCCTGTCGTTATTTTTAACAACGAGACAGATCTCACCGAACAATATCTTCGTGATAAACTAAACGAAATTGCCAAGAACAAGATAGTCAATCAAGGCATCTTTAGATGGGAGAAACTAAGATTCAGTTATTGGTGACAACTAATTTTGAGCAAATCTCGACACTTTGTCGCAGCAACTAGACGAGAAAATCTCCGTTGGCATGGTAGGACTGTACATTAGATTACTTGGCAATGCAACTGTACTTCATCTCATCACATCACATCGACGCTGTTATGTTTCTTGCTTCTTTCTTTGCTCGTTCTATAATTTATGTTACTGATAGAAAAAAAAGATTATTGTGCTTCTGTAATTTATTCATCTATTTGCTTTTGGTTAAAACAGAACTAGTTTATTTAATTTCAATTTTCAATCTTAAGTACAATCTTGAGATAGTGAGCGAGAAAAATATCGTACTTTTTCGTATTGTGAATTTAATTGTTGACAGAAAGACAATCTCAGCAGTCTTTTTGCATATTGCATCGGGCGAATAAGTCAGAACAGTGAATTATTACTGTGTACTTTATCGAATTTACAGCCTTCTATGTAAGTTCATTCAATATTGGTTATAATTATTTTAGCTATTTTACTATAGCTTTCAGCATGAAACACACACTTCCTACTGGCTCAATACAAACAAAATCTACTCCCATCCGAGCACTCCTGACAAAACAAACAAAGTTAAGCAGTAGCGTTATGGAAGCTCCTGCAAAACTCGTGAAACAAGATATCGTCGCACGAGTATCGTCTCTGACGGTATGTCTGAAACAAAGTGATATAAATAGAACTAAAATCTTCATTTCTGTCATGTGACTTATGTTTTCGCTCTAACTCAAAATTGGTGTTCTAGAGTCCAACGAAATCCCAATATACGGTGCGAAATAATTTCAAAGCAGTAAATGTTAAGCGAGTGTCAAAGAAAACGATCTACGATCATAGTTATTCGCGTCAGCCAGTCATAGTAATTTTATGTTAAATATCTGCCTAAGAATTCTCTATTCAATCGAATTTAGACATCGACAACGAGCAACGTGGATATAAAAATTATTTCACCTGAGCCATCGCATCCGTCTCCGTTAGACTCTGACTATGATCATCATGTATCCGTCGCTCGATCTAACGAACATTCGTTTGAGCTTCTACAGTTGAACAAATCGAATAAGGACGGCAAGTTTTCGCAGTGTTCACATTATACATCTTCAAAGGTAATGGATTAACATAAACCATTTCTGAGAGAGTTAGCTGCGTTTTCTCCACAAAAAGAAAATGTACATTTTTCACAGGTAAAAAAGAACATATTGGATATTAACTCGTTGCCTCACAATCAATTCACAAGTCACCGACCAAGAATGACTTCCGACATCACAACCGATAGAATAATAAGAAATGAGTATGAAATTCACGTAACAAGCATTGTTTACGATTATCGTTTTATATTTAGTCATAAAAAACGCAAAATGTATGCAGCTCGTTTTCCTCTTTGGTGTGTAATCCTGTCCTGCATGTGCTTTGTTTTCCTAGCACTTGTTATTGCTGCGATTATTGCACTCACTATAGGTAAGAACAAATGATTTTCTTTATTCTCGCCATCGAGTTCTTAATCTAATAATTCATCGGAAAAAATAATTTGCTTTGTATTCAAGTTTTAACAAAGACCAAGACAACAACTTCAACGACACTTCCAACGGGTACGTTGAAGAACCACTCCAAATCGAGCGATACAAATCTCTTTCACGGATAATCAACATAATCATTCAAACCTTCTCTTTATAGTATCAATGACCACGACCACTCCTGGTGTTTATTGTGCTACTACTTGTACGGGTAGTTTTAATTCGTCTGCCTCAACCACGTGTGGTCTGTATTGTGATGACGGTGGCGGCTACTATTGTCGTCCCACTTCGACTTATTGCGCTGGTAAATATTTTAGTCCAACTGGCTTTGGACATTGTGACCCTGCGAGTAGTCAGTATACAGGCCCTTGTAATACTACTGATCATTGCTGTGTTTACGATAATTTTATTCCTGACTATTATTGTCTCAGTCGGAGTTCATGTGGTTTCAGTGGATAAAGCTTGACATCAGTTATTTATTATGGACTTTAAACGTAAAGCCTTTAACCCTTTCAGTTTCGGCTTTTTTGCGAAAATCGAATTTTTTTAATGATATTTCTGAAGATTGTTTTAATTTCTTTAAAAAAAATGACATATTTGTCTCAAGCAGTCATTAATAGCTCATCTTTGTATGGTAGAGTCTCTGAAGCAATCAACAATACACATAGGTACATTGCAATCGGGACAGATATATCGTGTATCACTATGAATACTATGTGATGCACAACCGATGCATTTTCTTCGAGGTTGGCTTGACTGTGATGCTTGTGAAATAAGTGCAAGAAAATGTCGATCAGTTAGACGAAGAGAAGAATCTCGTGTTGATGGTCTCCCAATCGTAGTTGATCTTTGTGGTCCATACTTCGTCAAAATTTGTCTGATTACTTCAAGTCGAAGATCAGATAGATCAGAGGAAATATTGTTCTGCATTTTGTAAATAACAAATGCATTATATACTGCCATATTCAAAACATGGAAAAATAGCTTCTTGTACCATTTTAGTGACTGCATTGGAATGTACTAGAATGAGAGAGAGTGTGTATTGTCATATAGAACGAAAGAAAGCGCATAGAATATAAATATGTATGATTAATAAGCAGAAAGGGAAGAAATGAGGATTACTCTAAAGTCGTATCACCAAATGAAACGAGTGAGAGGCGTTATAAACAATTAAAAACTATATCAGGAGTACTTTTTTCAAATAATTGTATTTGAACGCATATATGCGTCGCCGGGACTCAAACTGTTAATAACTGCGCATATTTCCTCACGTTTTCTGTCTGTTTGAACATGACGAGCGGATCTTTGATTAAAACCATGATCGAGACATATTTTTATTTGAAAAAAAAAAGAATATTCAGTGAGATATCAAGGACGTGCTGTGAATCAAAATTAATATACAAATGAAATGCATCATCATCTATTCTATTGGCAGGAAAAAGACACGTCTCAACAACAATATTTATCAATCTGCATGTAAAACACCTGTTTGATAGTTATTCAATGTTCAAATAAAAGCATAGAATGGGATATATTTATTTTTGTCTGTGTAGCGATAAAAGTTTTTCTGATTGTTTCTGTTTTTCTATCTAAATACGTAACCAGCAAGAACGCCTATGGGAATAGGAAAACATTTTAAAAACCATTTGCTATCATCAGATAAAAATTTCTTTGCCGGAGAAATGTGCAGTCTCTATATTTTCATCATATTGCTAAATCTCCTCGTTTTCGACGATGTAACACTAGGTAAGTTTATCTACTGATTGCATTTTCTGCACACATTCGATTCACAGAAACGGAATGGAGTAGGTTGTATTTGTTTCTTACATATTTCAGCTGTTTCATTCAATCAACCGAATCTATCCTCGAGAGCAACTTGGAACCGTAATGGGATCATTTTTGCGAGCCAGCCAATTGTTGGCGAAAATGTCAAAGCCATTTTTATCGATACAAACAATTCAATCTACGTCGTCAATCAACAGCAGAAAAAGATTCTAATTTGGCAAAACAGTAGTCTCACACCAACAAAAACTATCGAAGGAGATTTCTCACTTACTACGCCGGTATTTGTGACGCCAAACGGTGATATCTATCTCGATGACGGATTAAAACGCAAAGAAGTAATCAAATGGAAAGCAGAGGCAGGGAGATTTGAGGTTGTTATGAAAGTGGGATCGCAATGCTTCGGTCTATTTATCGATATTAAAAATAATCTGTACTGTTCATCATACTTAATTCACAAAGTGCTGAAAGGAGACTTAAGTAAGCCCTCGTTGAATCCGATCGTTATCGCCGGAACGGGTTATCCAGGATCTGATTCTCATGAGCTTTACGCACCTTTTGGAATCTTTGTCGATGTGAATTTGAATCTATATGTCGCCGATAGCAGTAATCATAGAGTTCAGTTATTTCTATTTGGAGAAACCAATGCTATCACCGTTGCAGGAAACGGCTCCTATCGCTTCACTGTTCTACTCAACTATCCCACTGCAGTTATATTGGATGTGAACAAATACTTATTGATTGTAGATTCAGATAATAATCGAATCGTTGGAGAAAGTCCACATGGTTTCCGATGTTTAGCCGGATGCTATGGGCAAGGCAATCAATCGAACCAGTTACATTTCCCTACTACTTTCAGTTTCGATAGTTTCGGTAATATGTTTGTTGCTGATCACGGAAATAGTCGTGTAATAGTATTCTATCTTATGAATAACTTCTCTGGTGAGTAGACAAAAACAAAAGGCACTGGCGGTGCAAAGTCAATTTTGCACGTAGTTTTTCATAGTTGTGTCTGTTTCTATCCAACGAAAGTAGATGATTTACAATTCTTTCTTATCTTCTAGCTGTTTCATTCAATGAGCCGCGACTCTGCTTAAGCGCAACGTGGAATCATGATGCAATCACTTTTGCTAACCAATCGATTGTAGGCGAATGGCCTGCAGCCTTTTTCATCGACAAAGACAACTCAATCTACGTTATAAATCAGTTAGAAGAAAAGATGTTTGTATGGTACAATAGTAGTCACAGTCCATCAACTGTCATTGCGAGCAACTTCTCAAGTTCGCAATCCATGTTTGTAATGTCAAATGGTGACATATATATTGCTGGTGACTTAAGGAACATGAAAGTGACCAAATGGATATCGGACACAAAAAGATTCGAAACTGTCATGGAAGCAAAATCGCCATGCTACGGTCTATTTATCGATATCGAGAACAACATGTACTGTTTATTTACCGATGAACACCGTGTGGAGAAAATAAATTTGAACAATTATCCGATGACAGCAACAGTTGTTGCTGGAACAGGTCATATGGGATCTACTGCTTATACACTCAATCGACCTAGCAAAGTTTTTGTTGATGTGAATCTGGATCTGTTTGTAGCAGATTGCTTCAATCATCGAGTGCAGTTGTTTTCGGTAGGGAAAAAGCAGGCCATAACTGTTGTGGGAGATACATCTCTTCGTGCTACTTTTTCGTTGCGACTTCCCAATGGAATTATATTGGATGGAAATAAATACTTGTTTATTGCCGATTCAGGTAATAAGCGAATTGTTGGAGAGAGTTCGTACGGTTTTCGATGTTTGGCCGGATGTTACGGACAAAGTAGCCCCTCGAATCAATTAAATTTTCCAACTGTTATCAGTTTTGATCGATCTGGCGACATGTTTGTTGTCGACGAGCGAAATAATCGCATCCAAAAATTTCCTCTCAAAGATTCTTGCCGTGAGTTTGACAAAACGCTGGATTCTAATTCAGCTTGTTATAAGTTGCTTTTGGTAGGGACAAGTTCTTCTCCTTCTATCTCTAGATTCTACATATAATCAACCGAGATTTTGCTCGATGTCTGTTTGGAATCGGAATGGAGTGACATTTGCTAATCAATCGATAGTTGGTGAAAATCCTTCGGCGATTTTCATCAGCGGAAAAGATTCGATTTATACGATTAATCAAGAGAAGAAACAAATTTTAATTTGGCACTCGAATGAAGTCGTGTCGCCGTCAATTATTCCTACTGAATTCCACAACTCATCATCTATTTTTGTTTTACCAACTGGTGATATTTTCATTGATGATGGAGCAGTAAAAAGTCATCTACAAAAGTACGTTTTCGATCAACAGATATTCGTCAATGCAATGAATGTTTTCTCGTCTTGCTTTGGTTTATTTGTGGATACAAAGGATTATGTGTACTGTTCGATGCCGGAGCATCATCAAGTCACTAAAAGAGACTTTCATGACCCCGTCATGATGCTAATTGTTATAGCTGGGACAGGTGATCGAGGAGCGACTTCCACTAAACTGAATCGACCTCACGGAATTTTTGTTGATATGAAACTCGATTTATACGTAGCAGATTGCGGAAACGATCGGATTCAAAAATTCTCGCCAGGAGAGATATCTGGATACACAGTAGTGGGTGGAGCGTCAAAACGATACAAATATTCGCTTTCGTGTCCAACTTCGATTACAATGGACTCGCAACAGTTTTTATTTATTGTCGATTCGAATCATCATCGTGTTATCCGAGCAGGATCGAATAGTGTTCGTTGTGTTATTGGATGTGATGGAATCAATATTAAATCCACTGAATTAGCGTTTCCATCCAATCTTGCATTCGATAGTCTTGGAAATATGTTTGTTGTGGACACAGCGAATAGTCGAATACAAAAATTTCACTATTCAAAGAATTCGTGTAGTAAGTTTGAGTGACAAGAACGTCGACTCATCTTGTTCTTGATTTATAGATATGTCAGCAGTCTTTGAATGGAAAAAGTCATCGAAACTGACTGAGGACAGTCAAATTTATTCTCGAAATTGTGACTGGAGGAACTATCATTACGAAGCATTTGAAGTGAATGTTCCCGAACATCGGTACTACACAATATACAGTAGTGGTTCTATTAATACATATGCTTCTATCTATGAAAATAAGTTCGATCCACTTAATCCATCTGAAAATCTTCTTATCAACAATGATAATGGTACATCCAATGATCAATTCAAATTTGAACTTCCTCTTTATGACGACACAACGTATGTATTAGTTGTGACTACATCGAATCCAATGGTCATCGGCGATGTTACAATTCATATATTGGGCTTAATAGATACGACTGTCAAACGTTTGAGTAAGTAGAAGAAAAAGTATCAGTATGACGATAGTTCATGATTTGCTTTTGTTACCGTTGGACAGCCAGCCCAATTCATATTCTCTTCAATCGTTCATCGGAACTGACAAAAAACAGTCCAATGTACTATCGAGATTGTCATATACCAAAGTGTTATTATGAAACTTACGAAATTCGTGTTAATACAAATGGATCTTACATTATTTGGAGTGTAAGTGAAATGCATACGTATGGTTATATCTATCAAAATAACTTCGATCCTCTCAGACCATCCAGTAATCAACTCTTTGAACATAATGGGACGTGTAATCAAGAGCAGCTCAAATTTATTGTTGATTTACAAATTAACACTCGATATATATTAGTCGTTACCACTTTTCATTCATACACAACAGGCAGATACTCTCTTTTTATATCTGGATTGGATAAGACCAACGTTACCGTCGTTCGTTCCAGTAAGTGATCATTTAGAATAGTAAACTTCTTAGCCCATTCTCATATGATTTAATCCTAGATCCAAAACTTAAATATTGTGTCATTGGTGATCAATGTACACTTCATTATAAAAGTATTGGTTTGACTTTGGATGATATCTTATATGAAGAACTTCGCAAAAATTCGACCTTGAGCGAACAAATCTTTTCAGTGAAACTAACAGCCGCCCTGACAATTCTCATGTTTATTGGAGGTCTGATTAACAGTTTATTCTCTTTTACCACATTTCAAAATAAAGAAACACAAAAAGTGGGATGTGGATTATATCTTCTCATATCATCAATTACTTCATTTCTCACGGTGGTTATGTTCGTTATTAAATATTGGTTTGTGCTACTGACTCAGATCAATGATGTCACAAGTGTGTCTATTCATAGGGGTGGTTGTAAATCAATTGAACCTATTCTCAAGCTATTTCTATATTTTGATGGTTGGTTGAACGGTTGTGTCGCTGTTGAACGAGCCTTTCATATTTTCAAAGGAGTTACCTTTGACAAACGGAAAAGCAAAGTTGTCGCTCAATGGGTGATTGTAATTTTACCACTGTGCATCTTGGGAACTTTGATGCATGAATTTATCTATCGTGATGTATTTTCATATCGAATAGCCCGAAATACGACGTTCGAGAATGAAACAGAAATAGTGGGCACTAGACAATATGTCTGGTGTGTAACCGGCTATTCTCCTTCGGTTCAAATCTACAATACAGTCATTCTATTCTTTCATCTTATTGGTCCGTTCGTTGCCAATCTTTTCTCGGCTTTGTCAATTATTTTAGGAGGTGCGCGACAACGGTCAAAAGCACAATCGAATCGAAGTATGAAAATGCATATTCGTGAACAAATTAGTGAACATAGACAACTGCTTATTAGTCCGATAGTTTTACTTCTCCTGTCCGTACCTCGTTTAGTCATTTCATTACTACCAGGATGTGTCAATGCATCAGAAAATTTATGGTTGTATCTCGGCGCTTATTTCATATCGTTCGTGCCATCGATACTTATCTTTGTGATCTTTGTTGTCCCATCTGAGTTATATATGAAAACATTCAAGGAATCTATTACAAAATGGCGACGACAAAGACATCAATGACGGATTGTTATTTACTGAAATAACTTAGTACGGTGCGAAGGGTAAATCTTAGAGCTGTTCAGTTATACATAGCTTTTGCTGCTTGTTCAATTTCTTTGATTGCTAATATTGCTTTGTTAAGAAAAACGCGAATTATGTCCAGATACCTCATTCTCACTCTGTATAAAAAATAACTGAATTATTAGACAAAACACGAACAAGAATCAATTAGTACACATTTTAACCAATGTATCAATATTGTCTGTACCATAACATGCAATAACCATATCTAATTGTTTGTCCTGGTTCAAATCTGCCACAGCAACTGAGTATGGACTACTCTCATATCCTAGCGGATACGAAGCTTCGTTTCCTAATGTTCCATTGCCATATCCATACAGTACCAAGATGCTGCTAGTTCCTGAATTGGCGATGATCACGTCCAGATTACCATCATTGTTCAGATCGCCAACCGTAACTGTGTACGGTTGCGAGCGAGCACCTGTTGAATAAAATGCTGCGAAGGTGAATGATCCATTAGTACTACCGTAGAAAATAGCGATATTATCAGTTCGAGAATTAGTGACAACAACATCTGATTGATTGTCATGATTAAAGTCACCGAGAGCAAGCGAATAGGGAGAAGAATTAATGCCTGTCGAGTAAGTCACCATAGAACTGAACATTGCATTGCCAAGTCCAAATAAGATGCCGATATTATTAGCACCATAGTTGGCGACAACAATATCAGACCAACCATCATGATTGAAATCGGCCATAGCGATAGAGTTCGGTTGTGATCCATCAGCGATAGAATATGTCGTCATACCTGCAAATGGTTCATGACCATTTCCAAGAAAGACACCCATAGTGTTTGTGTTCAAATTAGCTACAACAAAATCTAATTGATCATCTTGATTAAAGTTGGCAGCTGCTATCGACCACGGATAAGCTCCCGTGCCAGTCGAATAGGGAGTACCTAAAAGAAATGTTCCATCCCCTCGACCATGTAAGATGACAACCGTACTCGTTCCACAGTTAGCAACAGCAATATCTAAGATTCTATCCTTATTGAAGTCGCCTACAGCTTGACTGCAAGGCGCAGCACCATCACCCATTGGATACACGCTTACATTACTAAGGATACCGTCACCTTTTCCAAGAAGAACTCCAACGTTATTTCCATTATAATTGGTAACTGCAACATCCAATCGGCTATCGTTATTGAAGTCACCTGTAACTATCAGCATTGGCCACGATTGATAACCGGTAAAATAGGACATATCCATTTGAAAACTTCCGTTACCAAATCCAAGAAAAATACTCACAGTGCTCTCCATATAATTACATACAGCAATATCCATTCGACCATCATTATTTAGATCATCGATAGCGACTCCCCAGGGGTATGATGATATTCCAGTGGAATATGTTGCAAGAAGAGCGAAACTTCCTGTGCCATCTCCAACTAGAATACTTATAGTATTAGTACCACGATTTGCCGAAACAATATCTGTTAGATTATCATTGTTAAGATCTCCAGCAGCCAAACCTATTGGTTTGGAATTGGCTCCAATCGGTACTGTCATCTGGTTGGAAAAACTTCCGTTTCCATCTCCCATAAAAATCCCTATGGCATCACCATCACGATAAGTGACGGCTATGTCAATGCGATTGTCTTTGTTAAAATCAGCAACAACAAGCATAAACGGACTCGAACCAGATCCTGTTGAATAAAGCGTGAAAAACGTGAAGCTGCCATCGCCATGTCCAAGAAATATCGCTAACTGATTGGTCTGCTGATAAACTACAGCAATATCAACATGTTTGTCACTGTTAAAGTCACTAACTATAACACCAGTTGACTGTTTGGTATT